CATAGAAGGCTAGACTAATAGGTATTTTGACAAAAACAAAAGGACTTGTAGGTAGACATGAAGCCCTTCTAAGCTGAAAGAAAATGGTTTTAAAAACCTTTTATCATTGAGTTTTATATTTGAATTATTAAAAATTAATATTATATGTGACACTATATTATTATTATTATTATTATTATTTGCACATATCCTAAAATTACACATTACCCTTCAATAGTATTGAAAGCGTTAATTATTTTTCGACAAAAAAGATATTTCTACATTTTTTTTATTAAAATTAAATATAAAGAGAGTACCAATTGAGAAATATATATATTTTTATCATGGAAATAGTTAAGAAGATTTAAAGAAAATATCTTTAAATAATGTTATTCTTATAACTTGTCAAAATATCTTTCTATCTATGTGAGAAGGAATTAAATTACATTAATAAAATATCAAATAATTTTAAATTTATTTTAAATTTTGCAAATATAATCTATATGATTAGAATTCTTAATTTAATAATTTTAAGATTAAATTATTCAATAAAAAGTTATTAAAAATGTATTAATAAATGTAACTTATATTAATATAATTTAATCTTTATATATATATATATATATATATATATATATATTAATTATTGATTAAATTTACTGACTCCTAAGTGATCCATAAGAAGTTATACTAATTCATAATTAAGTAATAACTTAGATATAAAAAACCGTTAATCTATCTTACAATAAATTAATAATCTATGAAAATCATTGGCATGAGATTAAAGATAAAATAATAAATATATTAATTAAAAAATTAAATATATAATTTAGAAAGATAATAATATGCTAATAAAATATAATTTTAAAAATATATAAAAATAAATATAAAATAATTTCACAAATGCTTATTTAAAATTTAAAATTATAGTTTATACGATTATCATAAAACTTATATTTATTAAAATAAATATATATGAAATTATTTTATTAATTTATTTTTACACAAATACATTTTAAATTATATTTTATTATTTAAAATTATTATATTTATAAATAATAAATTTATTTTTCTATTAAATAAATATTATCAAAATTATTTTATTTATTATTTAATAACTAATTTTATGTTATTAATTTATTTATGGCATAACACTTTTTTTAGATATGTCATAGAATATATCTACATCTTATTATATTTAAACTAAAGATATAAAGCTGAAAGGGGACTTAAAACTAATTATTTGACTAATAAAAAAACCACGTACACTGTACATTAACAAAGAATAAATCCCTAACTATCACTAATTCTACATGAATAGCCACTCATTGGTGGTTGTTATTTCATGTCAATATAAAAGGTGAGGTTGGGATGGTACAATAGTTTTTTATGGAGTAATTATTTATAAGAGGAACACGTAACTATCAAATAATAGCTGAGACTAATTCTACTCGTAAACCAATAACTAAATGAAACCCACTTGCAGGATTTCACCAAAACTTGCAAAAAGTTCAATAACGTCTTAAAATGATGATATGGAACAACATTGATCAGCATGTTTGCCCATACCATGAATTATGACTGGCTATGGCTTACCAACATATATTAAAATTAACTAATGATGCGCTAATGGACAGCTTGCACATAAACAACGTTAATTGTTTTGTTTGGAAACCAAATAGCTAACAGTGAGGTGTGTTTCTCCAAACTCAGTGAATGCTTTGTCTCTTTATGTACTGTGGACAGAGTCCAAACATGATCTATATTGTACCCATAATCTAGCTTAGTAAAGAGAATTAGCTTTTAAACTAGAACGAAATTCTCCTTAGTAAAATTTAAACACAGCTAAAATTTAAGAACTTAAAGACTGCTGGTTAAGTTAAAAGAAGCTCTTTATCAGTTTATCTGCATTGAGAAAAAAGGAATATGACCATTTGAAAAGAAAAAGATAAAAACATTGGATGAACATCCTTAATTTTAGTTTTTTATTTATTTATTCTTTTGAATTTTTCAACCGCTAAAATATCATTTATGATGATTGAAATGGAGACAATTTAGTGACGTAGCTGGTTTATATAGAAAAGACTCTTATACCAACTCTATCGTGGAATTTATCTCTAGTTGTTTTTAGGTCGAGATAGCCTGTACGTATCTACATCAAGTTTTAAAAACAAATTTAAGAGGGGAATTATGATGGGGAATAGTTAAAAAAATTTTGTTGTTTTGACCATGTTTCTCATGTGGTACATTAATATACTGAGAAGATACTTTTAATCAATTAAGATCCTATGACAGTAACCCATCTGGGCTTATCTAGTCAATCATTCACTACTCCACTGTTAAATTTTTATTTTTATTTTTAGAGTTAAATTTTTATTTTTATTTCAATCAATATTTTAAATTAAAATTCATTATTTTTATACTTAAACCCAGTTTTAAAAATTAATATTAATAACACTGAAATTAAGTTGTTAATATATAAATATTATGGGTTTATAATACTAATAATAAAATTATCAATTTTTATGCTAATAAATTATTTTTTAGTATGACGCATCATACTGTTAGTATAATTAATAGTTTAATTTTTATTAAATAAAAACTATACTAATAAAGATAAATTTACCACCTAGTTGATATAACATACCTTTTTCCTCTGTATAATGCTCATGATACGTGATTTCATGTTAAGTTATTTTAAGTTAATTATTAAATACATGGATCAATTAAAGAAGTTATTTGAAGTTTGCTTTCAAGTTTTAGTTTTAATAAATGTAAGTGTGTTAAATATTCGAAGGAATAACTTTTTTGTTTATAATAATTTTATTCAACTTAAAATGTTTAAGGAAAAAAATATGGAATATTATTATATTTTAAATTGATTAAAAATGTTTAATCAATTTAAAATAAATAAATAAATCTCGAATAGTATACATCTACCGATTTATAAATAAATAAATAACTTATATCACCCAATGAAAAATGTCAAACTGAAATAAATGATGCAATCACAAAACTCAAAACATAGTTGTGACTGTTTTCAAATTCGCTGCTGACATTTATAGAACGACAATAGTCTATCAAATAAACATATATAAACTAGGAATTTGTAGCTCAGGAAAAATGAGAGAGAGAAATTGCAATTTTGTACAATTGTGGTAACTATTTGATCTGAAAGTTTCTTTTTCATAAAGAGAAAAAGAAAATACTTAAAAATTTGGTGGCTATGACTTTTGAGGAAAAGTTGAGCGATTCTGAATGATACGCCATGCACCTGTGCGTTTTATCGTTTGTTGTTTAACCATTCATGCAAGCACCGGTTGGTGGCCTAACAAAGAGAGAGACGGTGATGACGCTCAGTGATGCAAAATCATCACTAACTAATATACCAAACTATATTAATATTAAAACTTATTAAGTTTAAATGTTTAAAGGGGGGCACTATTAATTACTGATGTGTTCTAATGATAATATGTGAATGGGTTTTAATTACAAATTAGGTTCTTGTTATATAGGAACAATATTTTGAAATGATTATTTCTTTTTAAGATATTCGAGTAAGCTATATCTACAAATAATATTTCTTTATTAAAGTAAATTAGTATTTTAGTCATTTAATTTTTTATTTTAAACTTTAGTTTTCAAACTTAGGTTTTTATATGTCCTTTATCCTTCTGTTATAATAAGATTAGATCACATTAACAATTTGCCAGAAACCTAATTGTTACTGCAAATTGGGTTATCTCATCCACCATCTTCCTTTTTTCTTTTTCCTTCTTACAGTAGGAAATTAGGTAATCTTGTATGAGGAGGAGAATGGATGGTGAAGTGATTAAAATTCCAATTTCTTACACCTTTTTTTCTTCTCATTATCTTAATGATTACTGAAATCTACTGAAGGTTTTTTCTATACTTCGAATCACAATCAAATTACTAAAATTTTTGTATCATTTTGATAAAATGAGAGGTTTAAATTCGACATCATGAATTATTTTTGTCAAATTATGATTTTATGCACAATTTTTTTTATTATTTTAATGATTATTAAAATTGATTAAATATTTTTTTTAAATATTGGATTGCAATTAATGCTTAAAGAGATTAAATTAAATTGTTTTCAAAAATATATTTTTCTATATTTTGCTTTGAATATGAGATATCTACGTTCTGATGACAATTGACGGAGTCTCTTTAAAGTTTCTTCTCTTCTTGATGTAGGACCTTTACCCTAAAATTGTTTCGCAGCCTATGAATGAAAAATTAAGAGTCAAAATGTTGTTCATATGTTCTTAAAAAACCCAAGTTCAAGTGGGGTACTGACGATGATATTTAACACTATTGTAATAAAAAGAATAAATTTAATTTAAAAGCATAAGTCAACAAATTAAATTGAATAAAAAAATTGAATATCAAACTGAAGTTAGAAAAGCATTTTTTTTTATTAAATTAATATATATTTTGATCTCTAGGAGTAATAATTCATGTTATTTTTTATCTCTCAAATTTTGTTTATATAAATTAGTCTTCCAAGAAATAAAATTATTTATAAATTAGCAACTTCGCAGGATAAATTTCTTCACAAATTAGCACTTTTTTGAGCTAATTTAAATACACACATATATATACTTCCAGAAACTAAACTTACCACACACAAAAGGAAAACTATATTATTTAATATAAAATACTCCAAGCATTATTTAAGTAACCAATAACCAAATTATGACACTGATCAAAGATTAATCCTTTATCCAAAAGTTGTACAAACAAGTCATAAAAAGGTATTAACTACCTGTAATGAAAACAAAGATTAATAGATCATACAACATATAGACTACTCAGCACTACTTTCATCAAAATTATCAACCAAAAGGGAGGGTGGGGATTGGATTTCATGCAATTCTTGCATTTCCCCATACATCCGATTATAAATTTATGTAGTTGCAGGTAATAATCAACTTATATGTATCATATAAATTGTCATATTTCTTTGTCTTAAACTAAATAATATTCTTGAAACTTGTTCAGTAATTCCATAGGCAATCAGTGTCCACAGGCCCTGCAGAAGCTGATGAATGTTGTTGATTCCCAAACAACCTGTGTAACATGTCATTGCTGTAAATCACAGAGGAGATATCAGCATCAAAGTTTCTTCCCTGTGAAAACTCTTCTTTTTGAATTTGCTTTGCACTTGAACCATGGTTTTCCATCAGAGCCCTCAACATGGACTGTTCTTGAGGCAGATAATAACTGTCTGGGTACTGTGAATTACCAATTTGGTGTGCAAATTGTGTTGATTGGTTTGAGACTTGAGGGGTTGAATTGGCAATAGGGGAAACTTCATAAGGTCTTGAAGAAGATGAAAGGCTGAAGTTAGGAGTAGGACTTTCCATGCTATCAACAATGTCATCTTGTGTGGTCTGATTCTCAGTTTGATTTGGATCGGAGAAGGAGGTAACCTGAGACAACTCACCACCAGTGGTTCTTGTTTCACTATTGGGTGGAGGAGAATCCATCAATGGAGGTAATAAAGACGATTGTTCCTCTCCAAAGGAGTTGACCCTCCCAAACTTTGGAACATGCATTTTCTTCCCACAAGGACTCTTCTCAAAGACTCTACAAATAACCCATTCACTCTATAAGGGAAAAAAAAAACCACATGTCAAAACCAACCTTAGTAAATGTCCACTTTGAGTCAGAGCAAAAATCAAAACACAGACTAATAAACAATTGAGACAAAACTTAGATACTTTCTTTAATCAAAAGTTGATACTAATTTTGAAATAAAACTTAAAATTTTAAGCAAAGAACACACCTAAATTAATGCATTTAAATTTTATTCAAAGAATAATACCTTGCCAGGTTTGGGTAGATCATGTTCAGAATGTTTCCCTTCCAACCTATATTCATGCATAACCCAATTTGTCTTTTCACCTTTTGGAGCTCTACCCTTGTAGAAAACAAGGGTTTTCTTCATCCCAATGAGTGCATTTTCCATGATTATCTCCTTGTCTTTACCTGTGGCCTTCCAATAACCAGCATGAGTGGCCCTATTAGTCCTTAAACCAGTTGGGTATTTTCTGTCCCTCACGCAAAAGTAATACCATTCTGTTTCACCCATTTTAGCCAGCCCTTCAAAAAAAATAAAATCACGATTCAAAGAAGTCATGATTCAAAACAAGACAGCAAAAATGAAGAAGAACTTGAAAGACTCACCAGGCAAATCCCATGGCTCACACTTGTTCAAATCAACCTCACCAATAGCTATAGCACAGAAACAGCTATCAACAACCTTCTTTGTAAGGTACTGGTTTATGAGTTCTTCATCTGTTGGATGAAATCGAAAACCCGGTGGCAATTCAAACTTCTGATCTTCTTTCCTTGCTTTGGAAACGTTCTCCATTGATCCCATCTTACACCAAAATCCCCTGCTTCATCAAAAACACAAGACACAACAAACCCATCAATTTCAATCTATATTTTCTAACAAAGCACACAATCAATCCTAAAACTTTTATTGCATGAATTGAAATGAGCAAAATAAATAAATAAAGACGAAGAAGCAGGGGAACCAACCTGTTAGAGAATGAAGCAGTGATGTGTTTGTTGTAAGAATAATAATAACAATAAAAAGGCTTTGGGTTTTGTGGGGGTTACAGAATTTTCGGCATGTAACGGAAGAACGCAAAAGAGAGTAGAGCGAATGAACTAGAAAGTTTGTTTTTTGGAGTTTTGATGTTAAGAAGAATAATGTTTTGTTGTGAATAAAAACAGAACTCCTTAAATACTGGTTTTTTAGGTACGCAGAACCGTGGCTCATAAGGCATCTTGGGAGGTTTCAAGGTTTCATGCTTTTAGCCCTTTGTTTTATGGTGTATGTGCATGTTTGAGTATGTCAAAAGCTCGAGGGTGAAAATCATTAAATAATAATTACAATAACAATATTTTAATCTTAATTGAGAAATTAATAGGTGAAATTAGAATGTACATGAAACAAAGCTAAGCGTGTTGCAGAATGATTAGCAGCTAACAGTTGAATTGAAAATAATTTGATGATAACTTTATTATGCTTTCGTATGGTATATGATTACGAGGAACACCTCACCGGTCACCAAATTAGCCTGTAAGTAAATGTTGATGTCACTGTGCTCTCTAAATCAGTTACCTCATTGTTTAACTGCGATTATTTAACTTTTAGCACTTTATATGATCCACATGTCCTATGAAATTGCTGATTCTCAAAATAAGAAACCCAAAAATGTCTCTAATTTGAAATATGAGACATAAAAATTTCAAACTTTTTTACTACTCTTCTAATATTTCTTTAAAGAAAAAAGTATGGAATATCTTTCTTATGACTTCAAGATATCAGTTATATTTATTTTATTTAATATATATTTTTAAAATATTACAAAAATTAGTGGAGAATAATATAATATCTTTAAATTTTTTAAAGTAATCAAGTATAGAAAATTAGCGTAAAAGTAAAAAATATATTCACTATTAATTTAAAATTAATAAAAATTATAAAATACTGAAAACAAAATTAATGATAAATATATACTTTTTTTACTTTAGATATTTATTCACTTAAAATTTTTTGAATCCTAATGTAACATTTGCTTTAGTTGTCTTTTTGGGTGAAGTAAATGTAAATTTTCTTTAAAATTGACATTTTTTATACCTTAAAATGGAGCATCTTTTAAAAAAAAAATTATTTGTATAAAAAATATTAATATAACAATGAGTTTGCACTCTTTTTGTTTCAATAAACAGAATAAGAGTAATTTTATTGAAGGAAGAACTGAAATAAATATCATAAATACTATTAGTTTTATTCTTTAATTAGAATTAAAATTTCACTTTAATAATCTATATAATAAAAGTCAACATTAAATATTGGCACACTAATATTAAAACCGATTCATGTTATTCAAATAAAACTTTAATTTTAATTAAAAATAATATTAACAGTACTTATCTTGTTATACTTAAGTTTTCTCTTTTTGTTTATTCTACATAAATTAATTCAATGACCTTTTAACGCGCACACAATTAGTCTTAAAAACTGCTAACTAAACATTTTTTGACATGAGTTTTTAACATTAAATTTAATATTATATTAAAATTAAATAAATGGGATCTATTTATTTATGGGTCATATTATATATATATATATATATATAATTGATATTAATTTAATTCAAAAATAATATTAGAAAGTATGTGGAAGAATGTCGTGTTATTACTATTTTTCTTTGAAATATTAAAGTATGTTACTTACCTTGAAACCTGCTATATGCATTTTATTATGATTTTAATCATTTTAAGAAATATTTTTTCTTGTTTGTTTGTTTTTTTTTTCAGTAAACCTATCACTTAAAGAGTAGCCCTATCAGCCTATAGTTTCTATTTATTTATGCATAAAGACTTAATTGGAAGGATTTTTCTTTTAATATTTAGGCTAACATTCTAAATATAGCAATTTGGTTGTGAAACTATCTCCCATTTTACAACGTTTACAATGTCATGTATAATTGTAGAAACAATATATATCATAATGAAACATGTAGGTGCATGATCCTGTCTCTACACAAACCACATATTAAATCCTACGAAAAGAACAAACTCCCATTATTTTCAACTTTTTATGATTCTTCTGAAAAGTTGTTTTCGGTATGAACCATGAATTGGCTAATGTTCATTGTCCTCTTATCACACGGATCACAGCGAGTGATCCTCTACCTCACACTCTGATTGATTAATCCAATTCCAAGGTCTCATATATTGATCTCTAGACATTTGGCAAAGGCATTATCGTTCTATCATATATACTACACGTGAAATGTATGAATATGCATCCTTTTATTTCTATCCTTCAAATATTTATGATATGTTAAATATATATTTTAAAGATTAAAAATTTAATGTTGTGTCATTTAATATTTGAGAGATTATTTAGTATTATAAAAAATTTTAAAAATTAAATAATTGTCAAATAAATATTTAAAAGACTGAATTAATAGTTTAATCCCAAAGAATCAAAGTTTAAATTATATTATTTTTTAAGATATTTTCCTTTCGAATATATTATAATCATAACAAAATATGAATGAAAAATGAAAAATATAGTTTAATGTGTATTTGATTTCATTTGTTTTAAAAAGTAACTGTTTTAGTCAGTTTCTTAAAATATGTTTAAAAATAATCGTTTTTATCAAAATAATCTCAATTAAATACACACCTTTTTTTTTAAAAAAAATTAATATTATATTTAATTAACAGTTTTGTTAATATCTTAACTATTGGCATTGATTTTAAGGATTGAAAGATAGTAATTTTTTTAATTAAAAAAATCTATTATTTTTTTACATTTTTATGTAATATATTTTTTATATATAAAATTGTCATTTTTTATTCTTTTTCATCAATTTTATAAATTGAAATTGAAAATTTCCCTAATTAACATTAAAGTAAGAGATATGAGAGAAACATGATAAATTTCTACATAGTATATTCACCAATGCTTTTAAAAAATAATTATAATGAAAAAACGTGTCTATAACTATGTGTGCTAAGTCAATGGAAGCATGCATGAAAGCGAAGCATATGTCTCATAGAAAAGGATAATATATAAAATTGGTAGTGGTAACTTGAATTTTGTTATTAATTTTTACATGCATTCTGCTTGAAGACGACGTGACACAAATTGATATATGAATGTGGAACACCCAAAGGTGGCACTTCCAGCGTTCCTGCCCACATGTTACTATTTGATAAAGAAAGGATCAGAAGAAAGAAAGGAATCAAAGTTTTTCTTTCCTTTTTATAATTTAACAATCGATTTTTTAACGTGCAATTAAAACATATTAGTTCTTTTTTCTATTTTTGAAAATCAAATAAAGTTAACTTTTTATATTGATGAATAATCAAACACCCGGTGAAAAATTACCCTACCAACAAAGTCAACAGCTATGGAAGCTAAAACTCTAGCTACTGATCAATTTGCATTGAGAAAAGAAAATGGATGCAATAACTGAAAATAAACTAACCAATAAAAGACAATAGGGTGAAGATAGGGGTTACTACTTACTATATTCTTCTTGCAAAGATGCACCCACGTACCCGACAGATTCCACCTCTGTCTCTCATTAGTGACAGCCATGCCGAAACCTGTGCCCTTGGAACCTGATTTACCCAGAGTTGCTTAATATGTTCTTTCATGCAAATTGTTGAAATTCAAAAAGACTCTCTTAATTAATTACACCATTAAAATAGGCTTTTATAATTTCTATTTGAGAACCAGTTCTAATTATTTGTATTTCTCTATCTCCAGTCTATGCATCCTATTGAGTATGACATTACATATTTACAGCATAGAAACCCATTCTTAATTATGTGTGTCAAAAGTCATTATAAAAAATACAATAAAATATTTTGATGATTATTATAATTTAAAGACATTAGTCTTTAACTATATATTAAAGAATACCTTTGATACACACCAGAAAATTAAATATAAATCTAAACACACAAATTCTGTTTGACCGCCTTGATCAAACAAAAATTCTCTTTGTGTTTATTTACTTTTTATTATGTTTTTAAATTATTTTTAAAAACTATATTATTAGAGTAATTAAGACCATTGTATTGAATTTAATTTTAATATATTTATTAATGTAAACATATATTTACATTGAAAATAAATTAAGTAATATTTTAAATATAACTTTTAAATTATGAAAGCAAGTAATTTTTAATAACATAATAATTCATAGTTAAATAAAATGTAAAAAATAATTAATTATATTAGACAAACAATTATGTCATACCTTATTTTGGACATAAAATAGGTGAGAAAGAGAGAAATAAAACAAGAAGAAGAGAGATGATAGAGATAAAATATTTAAATTGTTTAAAGTAAGGAGATCATGTGATTTAGCTCATAAACAATGAAGAGATCTAAAAAAAAAATAAAATTGAACATTTATTTACTGTTAATTTGAATTAATATTTTTTTTATAAAAAAAATTTAAATCAATTAATAATACATAAATTTTTACTTTTTCATTTTATTTATCTCTTTATTTTAAAAGAGTTAAATCTAAAAAGATAAAAAATGTGAGAAAATAAGAGTGAATCTTATGTTAATTTGAACTAAAATATTTTGCTTACCCAATTAATTTTAAATTAATGATGAATAAATTATTGTATTCTCACTTTATATGTCTCCTTAATTTAAAAGTCAAATTTTGATGAATAATGTGAAAAGAATATAAAAAAAAAGTATAAAATTATAAGAATTAAATATACTAATATATTCCGTTTAAACTATATTGTATTACGTCGAAACAAAAGCTAGCCATGCAAATGCAATGACGAGAAACAAAGTTAGTCTTTGGCAGCATGATCAGAAAAAGAAGAGGCACCACCAATACCAACCTCCGAACCCTCAAACAGATTCATGCTTTACTGATTGTCAACGGTTTCACTTCCAACGTTGGTTTCCTCAGACAACTTGTCTTCACCGCTGCAATGTCAATGGTGGGTCCCGCGGCCACCACTGCCGTCACACACTACGCACTCCAAATGTTCGCTCAAATTCCCCAACCAGACACCTTCATGTGGAACACCTTCATCCGAGGTTCCTGTCAAAGCCCTGATCCCATGCATGCGGTCGCACTCTATACCCAGATGCACCAGCGTGCCGTGAAGCCTAATAACTTCACTTTCCCTTTTGTTCTCAAGGCTTGCACCAAGCTTTTCTGGGTCAACACCGGTTCAGCGATCCATGGCCGGGTTTTGAGGTTCGGGCTCGGTTCAAACGTGGTTGTGAGGAATACCCTTTTGGTTTTTCATGCTAAATGTGGAGACTTTAAGGTTGCAACTGAGCTTTTTGATGATTCGGATAAGGGAGATGTGGTTGCTTGGTCTGCACTCATTTCTGGGTGTGCTAAAAGAGGGGATTTGAGTGTTGCTAGAAAACTGTTTGATGAAATGCCACAGAAAGATTTGGTGTCGTGGAACGTGATGATCACGGGGTACACCAAGCACGGGGATATGAAGAGTGCTAGGAAGCTTTTTGATGAGGCTCCCATGAGGGATGTTGTTAGTTGGAACACGGTGATCGCGGGTTATGTACTGTGTGGTTTGAACCGGCAGGCATTCGAGTTGTTTGATGAGATGTGTGGGATTGGGGAGTTCCCTGATGAGGTGACCATGTTGAGCTTGTTGTCTGCTTGCGCTGATTTGGGAGATTTAGAGAATGGTGAAAAGGTGCATGCTAAGATCATGGAGATAAGCAAGGGAAGTTTAAGCACGTTACTGGGGAATGCGCTTGTTGATATGTATGCCAAATGTGGAAACATTGATAAAGCGCTGCGTGTGTTTTGGTTGATACGAGAAAAAGATGTGGCATCGTGGAACTCGGTCATTGGTGGGTTGGCCTTTCATGGCCATGCTGAGGAATCACTTGATCTGTTCGGAGAAATGCAAAGGACCAGGGTTTGTCCAAATGAGATCACCTTTGTTGGCGTTTTGGCTGCTTGCAGTCATGCTGGGAAAGTTGATGAGGGTAATCACTATTTTCATCTTATGAAAAGTAAATATAAGATTGAGCCAAAAATTAGGCATTGTGGGTGTATGGTGGACATGCTAGGGCGTGCTGGACTTTTAAAGGAGGCATTTGACTTCATAGCCTCCATGAAGATTGAACCTAATGCAATTGTTTGGAGAACTCTGCTTGGAGCTTGCAAGGTTCATGGAGATATGGAGTTGGCAAAACGAGCAAATGAGGAGTTGCTTAGAATAAGAAGGGATCACAGTGGTGACTATGTATTGCTATCAAATCTATATGCTTCACGGGGCGAGTGGGATGGGGCTGAGAAGGTAAGGAAGTTAATGGACGACAGAGGTGTAACTAAAAATCGCGGTTCTAGCTTTGTTGATGCATAAAGCTGATAAACATCACGATTATGTGGCAACATGGATTTTATCATGTATATTCATTTTGGTAAAGCACCAATTATTAGGACACTAGCTGCTCGGCTTGCCCTGTTTCATGAATCTAATTTTTAAATGGTCTACTCCCAACTCCAGTGAGATAACCGTTATAAGAAACTTCAAAATTGTTGGGCAGAACTAGTTTTTGCATATCCATACAAAGATTAATTTGTTTCCCGGGGCTGAACATGATTGCGTGGAGAGATACCTTTGATCTTTGAGGCTGTTAAGATGTTTGAGGCTGTAATGTTGCCATGTCATACGATGTATTAACCCATCCACTTACAAAGTCATATATATCTCAAGATCTGACTTCATAACCTTCTGAGGATTGAACCTAATGCAGTTGTTTCATGGAGATGTTGATTTGGCAAAACACGCAAATGAGCAGCTGCTTAGAATGAGAAGGGAACAGATTGGTGAGGGGTGAAACTGCTGTCAAGTGTCAAGTATATATGTTTCGTGAGATGGGATTGAGAAGGTAAGGAAGTTAATGGATGACATTGGTGTCACAGAATCCGGGCTCTAGCTTTGTTGTAGTAGATCATAAAGCTCCAATGCATTATTTGTTTGAATCCAAAAGCTAAGTTAAAAATCCAGAAATCAAATGGAGTGCAAGGTGATTAACTGATTATATATCATCACATCTTGTAAAATGTTTTCATTGTCAAATTAATTCTTTTCTCTTGGCAGCAGATCATTTAGTGATTTTAAGCAGACAACCAAGCTTGAACCATTTTTTTTAAAAAAAATTTCTTACTCTTCCATTGACAAATGATAAAATTCAATGTTTGAATAGTTTGCTTGCCACAAGAGTTCCCTCTTCTCAATTGCTGGTGTCTCTCCCTCCGCTTCTTCGGGTGGCAAATTTGAAGTTGACTATAATGGTGCATATGTATGGCATTACTGAATTTTCACCTGGATAATAATGATATCTACTCTAAAGACAATTCCAAAGGGGAGAAAAATGGTAATATCATTTCAGATTATGGATGTAAAGATTATGTGCTTAACATAGAAAATGACATAAAGATAGCTAAGAAAAGGATGGTAGCGAATCATTTGTTTGAACTTTAAATGATAAAACAGGTTCATTATTTGTTGGATAAAATTTAAGATGTAACTACTATTACTCTAAAATTTTTTTGTTTCCTATAGTTGTATGGTAATGTTTGCTTATGATTGGATCATATTTTTGTCAATAACTCCCCTATCTGTATGCAATTAACGAAATGTTTCTGTAACAAAAAAAATAAAATTGAAGGGATCGTTTCTTCTCGGGTTTTAGAAACAAAACACGTTGATCTACAAAAGGAGCTTGTCTGCGTATTTAACGAATTTACTTTCACAAATAAAAATGCAACTTTTTCTTGGCTGAGAAAAAATAAAATTCGGAGCATCAGTATTTGATATTTTTCATTTAATTGGATTTTTGGTGCAATGTACTCTTTTGGTCCCAAGTTTTCTAATTGAAACGAATCTAATTAGAAACGCGACATTCCATTACGGTGGTATGTTTTTAGCTGAATACAGTTTTCCTTCAATAGGAATTTCCAAGCTGTACATGCATCATGATTTTACTTTTGCATGGACAAAATTGGATGTGATGATGTGTAATTGATACGCATTGATATGGTGTGTAATATTTAATAGGAAAAAATAAATTTAAATCCTCTTGTCCTTTACTTTTATAAATCTTCCTAGTCATAAATAAAGAATATTTAGTATACTTTTAAGATAATAAATACATTAACTTATTCATTTAATACTCACTTTATAAAGTAGAGGAAAGATTATTAAAAGAATAAGTAGAAGGATATTAGAGCTCATAAGAAAAAATATATATTAATCCCATTTTTTAGGATTGATTTTGAACAACTAAAAGTGATAAAATTTTATTGAAAGAGGAAATGTTTATAATTATATAAAAAAATATAATAAATGCATCATTTAAAAAATAAAATCTACTTTAAATGCTTAAAATTAATTTTAAAAACTTATGTTAGCAATATTATATTTACTGTCATTAAACCATTACTATATCCATGACTATCAACACTAGTGGCTAAACTTTTTGATTTTTTTTTACTACTTACATTTCTATATTAAAGAACATTTTGAAGCACTTCCAATGTTAATTATTCTACTTCAAATGTTTTTTTTTGTCAATATTTTATAATTTTTTATTAATATATCTTTCAAAAAATGATAAAATTATACATAACAAATATGAATTTTAATTAAATAATTTTAACTAATAGCTCTATAAATAATTAAGTCAAGATATGTCACCGATGAGCATAACCCTTGTCCTTTCTGCGCTGATCCTTAAGATATACGAGATGGACATGCAATTTTAGCTAAAACGAAAATGATTTGATACAATTTAAGGAGACATCTTTTATGTTCCTTTTTTTTATTTAGAATATAATTTTGATATGCGTGTATTAAAAAATTTAAAGTAAATAAGAAATACAAATAATAATATATAATATCATATAAAGTGTTAATTTTTAGTATTTCAAATAATGAAACGTATACAATATATAATTTTCTTGCTCAAAGACAACTGCCATACTTGCTCTATTTTCTATATTCAATTTTAAATGTTTCTCATCAAACTCCACAAAGATTCCCACAATAAGAAACTCTTTTTAATGAATTTTTGAAGGATAAAATCAGATTCGGCATACTCATGTTAGGGAAGTCGAGCAAAAAATCATATATTGGCTGTATGTTTCTATGCATTGTTTCATTATTTTGATAAGTTTTCCTTTCTGTACGAGTTTGAATTTGATATGGTGGATGTAATATTTTTTATATTATCTTCTTCCCCATTAAATTATTAATTAGTTAAAATCTAAGTACAATACTATAAAAGTTTTTTACAATGTTTTTCAATCAAAATTTGAGATTCTTTTCGTTAACCTTCATCAACATTTAATGTCAACTTCAGATACACAAATTACCAAAATATATTGAAAATAACACAAATAAAATACACTTATAATATGAAACTTGAACCTAAACAAATTAGCCTTCCTAATGATTATGAGGGTCAAATTTTGTATGGGACATATATGCTAAACATCACATTTTGGACTTAGTTGTAGAATGATTAATGCCTCAAATTTTATCTTTCGTGTTTATTATTTTTTAAGAGGAGTGCTATAAACGCTTTTTTTTAACATTAGCTCTAAGTTTTTAAGATTACAAAAAATGTGATTAAAAGTTATTAATTATGAATAAGACTTATATGATTTTTAGTAAATTTTATCAATTATAAAAACATTTAAAAAGTATATTAAAAATATGATAATAACATTTAACTTATTCTCAAACAGAGATTTTGCATCCCAGTAAAAAGAAATAAAAGGGTAACGATGACTGAAACCTTTCAAGACGTCAAAATGGAACTATATTATTGAAGATTTCCATTTTCACTTTTTCACATTTTTTCAAATTTGTTCAAGAGTAATGATGCTCTTACAATATTTTTTTATAAGAGAATTATAATTTAAAAGAAAGATTAAAAAAGAAAAAAGAGTGATAAAATAAAATGAGTAATGTGATCAAATAAATAAATTATAAAAAAATATTGTTAAAAATTGTTGTGTATATATTGTTAATGCGTTATTCTTTGTTAAACCTAAACTAGTGGGTCATGGAAAAGTAGGGGAATTTAGTGTTAGCGGTCACAGAAGCCAAGGGCACAAGTTCGATATTGTAACAATTAGTCACAAAATAAGAAATATATAAGATAATTTCACACCTACTAAATAAGTGTATATTAAGTAGAGGAAAGAGAGATAGAAAGAAAAAGAGATTTGTGTAATAAAATGGAAAGAAAAAGATAAAATGCAAGAATAAAAAATAAATATAAAAAAAAGGTGAACGTAAAAATTATAATAATTGATAAAATAATTACTGACCAATGTATATTATTTCTTTTTGAAAGTGACTAACCTATATATACTAACAATAATATACAAATATCACACAGATATAAGTAACAGGGTCCAATTGCAATTTGCACTGGTTAGTCCAATAATATAGAGACAAGAAAGCTAACCAAACACTAGAACAGATCTATGCAAGAAAGAAGACAGCAAAGTTTTATAAAAAAATATGAATAGAGCGGCGATCAATGTTCATACAATGTTACAGTACCACTGATTTAAGAAATTTTAAGCAATAGTAACCACGGCTTGGAACATTGATACAATTTAAAAACTAAGGGAAGTTTGAAGTGAGTATGATGTTGATACCTGAAAATTTTCTGCTAGTTAGAACAAAGAATTTGTAGCAGCTTGAGTGATGTTGTTCTGAGGCTGAGCTAGCATGCAAGTTGAGCTAGCAACGTGGCAATGTTCATCATTGGTCAAATCAAACACTGTATGGTTATATCATCAAATATCTAGCATGAGAGAAGGAGGCCTTTGTGTAGCCAGAGCCGACTTGCCGGTCAACTATAGTTTAGCATATTTGAGGATAGGAACATGATGGCATGAGTTAATAGGTCTCATAATGCAAAAACAAGCTTAACGGCAAGTCATCCTTGGCTGCACTGCATGACCTCATACCCACATGCAAGACATTTTAGATGAAATTTTAATTACCAAAAACAAAAGCCTCAAATGATTCTTACAAACTCTAGTGGAACCAATAAAAAAGAGCCCATCATTGGCATAATTATAGAACTAGAAGAACGAGGGGACTTTTCACCAAATGGGGAAGACAACATCATTCCAAACTAAAATGAAGAGAACAGGTAGAAAAGAAGAAGCCAATTGGCCTTGAAGGCCTTTCTTGCCAGGAAATAGACGAATGGAGTTTGAAGCAAACAGAAAGGCTCTGATTAGTTTATAAAGAAAATGTTTATAGACTCACAATAGAGGGTATGTCATACCAAAGCATTAACGGTGCTACCATTACTGCATATGGGACAGCCCTATAACTGCCCGATTGGTGTCCTTTGTCAAAGGAAAAATTTTAAAAAGGAGGGTTATGTGTAGAGGGTTCTTAGTGCTGGGCTTGGATGTGACTTTGCATAGGTGAAAAAACCAATAAATACAAAAACTTTATTAGATGCATCACCATCACCTAAGTTCTGACTAGTTTCTCAGATCACTTATTAAAGATCATTTAAGGGAAGTAGCAGCTTTTGACCAAGTTGAAAGAACAACATCTCCCTGGGACCGTACTGTGGAGTTGGGTGGAAGAATTTACTCCATTTGGCTATGAAAGAAACACAGCATAAATATGCTACATTGGTGAAACTTACGAGATATAAATGCTCAGAAGCCCTGCCTTCTACAATAATTCTTGTATTTTCTTATACCTCTCACCATTGAATTCATTTTTTCTAAGTTGTGTTGTCCCCTTCATCCAACGCTGATTGTGTTCCTTTAAGGAAGAAAAGCCTTCTTTGATGATCAGAAAAATTGTCCCTTAACAAGGGATTTAAGTATATCATCAAATATGTATCGATATTTGCATATCACTAGTTGATTTCTCGTCTAGAAAGACTGGTAAGATGCAGTCTGTAGACATGGAAATATGATAAATTTTAAATATCATAGGCCATGAAACGGTTATAATACAATATAAAATTTTTTAAACTTATATTAATGTAAATTTTTTTACTTTATTTATATTTATATTATACAACATAATTCAAATATAAATACTATTTTGAGATATTCATGTTTGTTAGTTTTTTCATTTTGAATTTTAACTAAAATAATTTATAATTTTAATTTTTGTAATTTAAGTACAATTTTATGTACTTAATTTAAATTTATGAAATTTAATTTCTATAAATTTTTTAATTACTAAATTGAATTCCTCATCTTAAATCCCATTTTTATTGTCAATTTATATAAATCAATATCAAATAACACCTCTATTACATTTGAGTTGATTATTAAATAAAATTTGAGATAAAATTTAACTCTTAACAATTAAGAAATTATAATAATTAAATGTAAACCAGAATAAGATTTAAAGTTAAAGTAAACATAAATTAAAATATGAAGACAACAGAAGTGTTCCGTTCTTGATAGAGGTCCCGCAACGACACATCCATGCTTTCATTTTTGTTTATATGGTCATGATTTACAGAGTTATTGATGAAATGCTTTATTAAATCATGCTACAATGACTCAACTAGATATATGTACGATTATAACACGTAACTAGAATAGTTGCCTCAATCCCAATGAATATCCATTCGTTGCTAATATGAGATTGGAGGAACAAATAATAGGTCAGGTCGACAAAAATCTATTATCTAAGTTATATTTGATAGATATGGTTTATAATTTATTTATAAATTTTATTGAATTTTCAATAAATTAATAAAATCACTTGATAAATATAAAATATAAAATTTAATTTTTAAAAATTAATTTTTCAAAAATTATTTATCAAAATTTTTATTTTTAAAAGTTAACTACTAATATTTTTATTATTCATCGTTTTAAAAAAAGAACTTATCATTCACGTAATTAAAATATAATATGTTAATTTTATTATTATTTTATTCTTTTTATTTTTACTGTATTTTTTTATTTTATTATTAATAATTATTAATATAATTTATTATATAAAAATAAATAAATAAAATAAATAATATTTTAAAAAATAAGAAATAAATTAAAATAAATTATTTAAATTATATAATTCTTATTGATATAATATATTAAACATAAATTTAAATTATTATTTACAATAATAATATTATTTTATTAATAAAATATATTAAAATAAATTATATGTAATTTTGATATTATATAAATATAACATTATATGTTATTTGAAGTCATTAAAAAATTAACTATATAGTCAATTTATTAAATAATTTAATTTTATAAATTATTTATATATTTATAACCTTTTATATAATTTTACAGTTAGAAGTTACAGACTTAACTGATAGAATAGTTTATATAAGCCTCATAAACTTTTTATTAATATATATTAAATTAAATTTAAATTTTTAAAATAAATAAAATTTTTAATTAAAAATACTAATTTTTTAAAATTAAAAAATATTTTATTATATACTAAAAAAAATGTGCTACTTGCTTTTTTTATATTATTATTTTTTAATCTGATTTGCACATATAACAATTATGTTTATTACATTTTTAGTTATTTACTCATTTAAATCAAATGTATGATTCAAAAATGATAAATAAAAACATAATTTTATTTTAAATTTATAAAATGTTAAATTATTTTTTTTATAACTTATAGACACATGCTTATTTACATGATTAATAATCTATTCATTAAAAATTTAAATAATTTTTTAAAGATCTCAATATAAAGCAAGCCTTTTAAATTAGACTACTTAAAAAATAAATTAGACTTAATAAAAATTAATGAAAAATAATAAATGACTTCACTAAATAAGTTAAAACTATTTGTATACCAAGCCTCTACAATTTCTATGAATATAAGCCCCTCCAATCAGTGGACCATTCGGCTGTTCGGTAGCTGCAGAAAAAAAGATACATCTATTTTTTAGGTCCCATTATATTTTGAGAAAAAAAAACCACTTCCCGTCGTAATAGATTTTGTCAATGACTGAAAAGGATCTTATCCGTACTAATAGGAATATTCGCGTATCTATTACCTTTATCTTGCACTATTTTAATCCGGTATAAGATGTTACAGATTACAGATCACTGGGATAGAATTGTAAGCATGGTGGGCAAAGCGACACGTTATGATGTATTTCCGACATGTCACACGAGAGTAAATTAGTCCAATAGAAACACTTTAATCACCGTCACGAATGTAAAGTTATTCAGATCAGTGCTTCACCCAAAACATCGGGTCAAGTCCCTGCAATAATAATTTTTTTTTTTCATCTTATTTTTGTTTTTTCATCTTTGAATAACAATCACCTCTCTCCTAATCAAGAACGAGAAATGTTGGAAAGAATCTGATCCAACTCATCCATTGGAATTATACAATGACTTCCCTTCATACACAATTCATCTAACTATAATAGGAGAAAAATAAACAAGCTATCCCGAAATTGGGGGAAAACGCTGAGAACAAAATCACAAAGCAGCTTTAGTTGTACTATGCCTTTTCAGTTTTGGTACTACTATCACAAAGATAAAATATTCTCCATACTAACCATGCGTAAGACAAGGAAACAATTTTAAAACGGGATCCATGACCAGCCCCAAACCAACTTCCTTAGAAAAATTTCATTTTTAAGGCTTGTGCATTCATGAACTCCCTACTCAAACAGAAATGAACCATTGCAGCTGCAACTGAAACAATCACACAACTTTGCAATCTTAAATGACCTAAGCCATGAAGCTTACCTGTTCCATACCTGAAATGACCTGGCAAAATGAGTTACAAGGGATAATTCAGCTGCATTGCATAAAAGGTACAGATCAAGGAGGACAAAAGGATAATACATACCGCAAGTCGATGTATTTCAATTATCAACAGTATCTCGTAATATCGCTTGATTTCCAAAATCCCAGGCTAATCAAAGTGGCATGTTAGCATTTGATTTGTGTTTTCTTATTCAACTACCTTAATAAAATACAATAATAACATCCAAAAGAAATTCAGGTACTCCAAGCCCCCCTGTTCCTAATCATTAAAGTCCAAATTTCCAGACAAGTACCAAAGGTGTATGAGTAACTATTAGCATACCCATATGGATTAGACAGTAAAGCGCACACGTCAACAAAAAAAAAAAAAAAAAATCCATATTGTTTTCCTTTCCCCTTTTCCCTTTAAGCATTTACACTAGTCCATATAGGGTATCATTTCAGGTGCATACCTGAACTAGTATGCCGATGGACATTAAAGTAAAAAAATGACGATGATATGTTGAATATCTTCGTGTAAATGTCATGTTAGATATCTGAAATAATGTTGAATTTCAAAAGCTGCCCAAAACTTGGACCATCAAGTAAGCTGGCCTATTGAATCATGGCTATAACAGGCTGTACTAAAATTATCTGTATTTTTCACAAAACTGATTTTCTCTCATCTATAAATTTTCAAATTCAAAACCAAGCTTTATTCAGCAAGTAGTCCATCATTACATGCTCAACTCAAATACTACCAAGTTTCCACCAAAGACAAATAACAAAATCAAGAAATCAACAACCTCAAGCAAGTAACCAAACAGTGAATACCAAAGTTATGTAAAATAAATGAGCAGCAAGAGTAATCACACGAGCCAGTATTTTGTGCAGGTACTAGCTCAATGGTTTGGTTCATTTTGATGGCTTTATATGATATCCACAACAAATATACTTTTCTAAGGGTATGTTTGGGAGGAAGTTTTTAGAAGGGAGGGGAAGGGAAGACATTTTTTTTTAATTTTAAATTAAAAGAATTATATATTATTTATGATGATAAATACATTATTAATATATTAAATTTTTGTTAATATATTAATTTATATTTTTTATTTTTAAAATATTAATTTTAATATATTTATTTAAAATATAAATTTTGCCCTGCCTCCCCTCCAAAACCTCCCTCCCCAAACAACCCCTAAGTTTAAGTTAATGCTAAGCTTAAAATGTATAACTGAAACAACAGACAAGCACGAATATTCTTATTTTTCAATACTACATGAGCATAGAAAAGGAAATAAAAGATTATTCTAATTCTCCACATCCATACAATTGAAATCTAATTAAGCTCCCATGCACTGGGTCTAGAGTTTTAAAAACAGAAAAGACCAAGCATGCACTATTCGAGCAACACAAAAAAGGGGCAAGAAATAGGATATTATCAATTTTTGAATCACCAAAGATTTTAAATGCCTCCAAATGCATTACCTTAGCCAAGAAATTGTTCGACTATGAGCTTCAATAGCATAATCAACTGCATGTATGACAGATTCTATACCTTTAATTCATCACATCTGAAGTACTCAAAACTACATCCATAGATATGAATTTCACAGTCAAACAATGCAGCTTACCCTTGCTTATGATATAGGAAGATATTGACACCTGCAATATGACACAAAAGCTCTACCAAATTTTGATGTATAAAGACTAATAGGTCAACTTATCAGAACCAACATCATTTAAATTCAAATAACTACAGAAGTCCATACTTGCAAGTAACAATGAACTATCAGGAAAACAAAACCCAAATAAAAATATAGGTACAACTGCCAAAGGATCATGCTACATGGTGTTTTAAATCTTAAGACAACTGAACAGGAATCAAAAAGCAGCCGAAAAGGCAAGCCGGCTTTATAGGTTCTTGTGGGAGCATTAGTTATCAAGCTTGGGAAATAAGGTAAAGTGGACATGGCCAATTTCAATAGTCTCCACATGTTTGGTGCTCTAGGTAGAAGCATCAAGGTGGGCCATGAGTTTGTCAAACCCTGGTTCATCTGGTCTTCCGGTTTAGGCAGTAGGCTGCAGGCTTCACAGAACTCAGCTGTTTGGATGGGAGGGGAAAGGCAAGAAAGGGAAAAAGAGCATCAGAATTCTAAATGGTACACTGGTTAGGTTAAGATATGAATCTGTTACATACTAATTTGAATAGCCTATATTGTAGGAAGTTGCCAGATAAAATACGAAGATTATGAAAACTGTAATCTACCTGCAGGGACCCATCAAGTTTTAGTAAGCATGGTTTCTCCTACGAGAAACACCATTCTGAGTAGACGACCTGTCAATAGATATTAAATATCAGCATTGATGAGTTTGAGAGAACTCTTAACAAAGTATCAGCAAGAGTGGTTCCCTCACAACATGAAAAGGGAAGAATATAACATTATAATGATACATAGAACATAAATAACTTGATTAGTTACCCAGAAGCACTACTCCGTCCCAAAGAATAACTTCCGTAAGCACCACTGCTACCAAGCTACAGATATAAGGAAACAACAAATTGAGAAACAATGGTTGATTTGGATGAAGCTCATTCACATGTAAAAGTTTCACAAATGTGTATGATCGTAAAAAGAACCTGTGAACTTCCATAGCTTCCATAACCGTCACCAGATGCCAAATCACTTGAGCCTCCATACCCACCTGAATATGAATGTCCACCACCACGTCCATGTCGTTTACCATCTCTACTGTCATAGTTCATACCATCTGATCCGTCCACTGAAGCAGGAAGATATGGCAGTACTGGAAGGAATGATGAGACGGCACGCTCCTTATCAAAAAGATTTGCTCTCAACCGGGTAAGTACTTGCACAAGAGCATCCTTGGCAACATCAAGGTCCCCCGAAATCTAATCAAAGATAACATAAAAAGCCAACACAGTTTTTCAGAATGATTGGGCACTGCAACTTTCGATCACACAGAAAACAAGATTACTCAATCGAACTATGACAATGCCCTTACCTGCACCATTTCATCATCTCCAGATGCAATTTTAGGAAGATTTTCCTTTGACAGGATGCGAATATTAGCTTTTGTAAGCCTCCTCATTTCAGTTATAATTGTCCCTCCTTTACCAATAAGGCAACCAATTCGTGAGGTTGGCACCAGAAGACGGGTAGTGAAAGAGACTATTCCCGAATCTCTTTCAAGTTTCTCACTGCACCGGGGTTGCAATCGCACAGCAGCTTCTATAGTTGGAGAGAAAGTATCCTCAAAGAACTGCATGAGCATAATTTAAAAACATCATAACTGCAAGAGTCACACATTTACATTACATATCCATACCACAGTTGAAAAACAGCATTTCACCTCTTTTGTTGAAATGATAATTAAACAGTCATCTCCTTCTGTTGCTGAACTATCAACTTTGATGGTTGCCCCAGAATCCTGCCTAATTTGATTTATTATAGCACCACCCTTACCTATCACACCACCAATGTTCCCAGTTGGACAAACAAACCGAGCTGAAAACTCCTTCAAAGATGCTTCATCCCTCGGAGCAGAATACAGAGACCGTGACCAGTCACCAGCATCACCTTTATACCCTCCATAAGCACCCACAAAAGGAGCCACTCCCACAATCGGAGCACCAGCAGCAGGAGCTACACCACCAGCATATACACCAGAAACCGCAGAAGCAAGCAAATGCTGAGACCGTGACGGATTATCATGAAGCCTTGATGCAATTTGAAACAAAGCTTTCTTCACAACTGCAGCCTCACCAGAAATCTGCACTTTCACAACATAAAAACACACTGTAAACTGTTTGTGTGTCTTTGTATGTTAGATTTTCTACTTCTACTGCTGTAGTATGAAGCTTGCAGTACAAGCCGGTGACAGGTATGTGCAGCACAAAATATTATAGTGAGGCCCTCTGTATTGTGCAAACTCCATTAGATAGTAGGTGTCTTAACTACCTTTGTTACACATAACAGATTCCCTATCAGAAAACTCTAACCTTTTCAGATCTTGAAATATTTTTTGGTCTAACTCTTCCATTATCATTTCTCATCTTCTTAAACTCTTACTTTCTTGCTACATGAATTCCAATGTAAACAAAGAAATTATATAATAATTAATTCAGATCCAAGAATGACCATCCAATTCATAATTTACCTGAACAAGTTCATCGGAGATTAAGGCGCAAGGAGGCAAGCGATCATCCTTAAGGATCCGAATTTGCGCACCGGTTTCGTTTCGGATGCTCTGAACAATCTGGCCACCTTTTCCGATCACGCACCCAATCTGATCGGACGGCACGAGAAGCCTCGCAGTGACGTGGTTCCTTTCCTCGTTTTCTTCATCGTTGTCATCGTCGCTGCGCGTGTCTTCGGCGATTACTCTCTGGTGAACTCTAAACAACGCGTCCTGTGCGGGCGAGACGAGATCTGCTGTGTCATCGAAGCGGTTGGTCTCGTCGGAGGAACTGTAGATGGTGACGACTCGGTCGTCACATCCAGGTAGCGAGTCGCCGATGCGGATCTTGGCTCTTGTGTCAGCGCGAAGCTGCTTCACGATGTCGCCGCCGCGGCCGATGACACTTCCGATCTTGCGGATGGGGCAGAGGTAGCGGTAGACGGTGTCATCGGCGTTGATGAGGAAGGAATCATCGGCGGCAGGGTTGCGGCGTTTGTTTTTGTTGCCGGCGTCGGAATCCGATTGGGAGTGGGAGCGTTTACCGTAAGAACTTCGTTGACCAGCCATCACAGAAACTGAAAACTGTGCTATGCTACGCTATGCTCTGCCTTATGGTTATCACGGAGTGACTCAACAGAAGAGAAAGAGAAGAATGAATTGACCGAGCGAGCTAGCCGCTAGGGTTGTGGAATGGTTTCAACCTCTATGGATTCTTCGCCGCCTTCAACAGCTTTAATTATTATTGTATTATATTATTAATAATTTTCCCTCCACCGCCTTCAATATTTACTTTCATTTCTACTTTTTCATTTTTCTTTTTTTCCTGAGAGTATCATACTATCGTTTGCATTTTGTACTTTAACTATGTTTTTGGGAATATTCAGAACATAAAAAAATAACAAAATATGTCAATACAATAAATATATAAATTTATTCTTGAAATTAGGGATGGTAATGGGTAAAGTACCCGATGGTCACCCGCAAAATTTACCCACAATGGGTAGGGGTATTTACCCGCTATACGGGTACGGGTATGGGTATAGGTAAAAACTCGCAAATTTTAATGGGGATGAGTGCGGTTATGTGTATCTAAGTACCCACCCTGCCCCATACCCGCATATATATATATATATATATATATATATATATATGCTTGAATTTTATTCTACAATTATGCATTGATTTTTTGTATTATTATATTACTTATGTGAAGTTATATAAGATTAATATAAAAATATATTTAATAATAAAATAAACCAAAAAAATTATTTTAGTTTCTATTTTTAATAGAAAAATTTATTTACTATTTTATATCATTTAATTAAGCTAACACAATTTAATTATTACATAATTAATATAAGATTGACTTTTTTTAAAATATTATTTATATATGACACACATAAAATGTTTTTTACACAAATATTTTTATTAATAAAATTATATTGATGTTTAAATCATAAAGTGAATGATAAATAATAAATATATTATAAATATTTTATAAATTTTACAATCACCTACTATTACCGTAAACTTATTATTTATTAATAATATTTAAATATTATTTTTATATTTTAATTTAAAATAATATTTTTCTATGTAACATATGTATTACAAGCACAACTATAATCTATTGAATCTAAATAATATTATTCTTACTATTTATTCACATTCAAAGAAGTTTTTGAAAAGATATAAATATAAAAAATTATTATTAATTTTTATTTGTTAATTTTTTTAATATACACGTATATTTCTTTATTATAAAATTTTATTGTAACTATTTATCTTTTATTCAAATTCTTTTTTTTTTAAAATTTATATACATTATAAATATTTAATTCACTAAAATAATTTTTCAAAAATTTATATTTTTGATAAAATACTTTCGTATAGTATATGAGTTAAAAAATACTAGTATTAATATATATATATATTAATTATATTATATTATTTTAATTAAATCTATTATTTTTCTTACAATTTCAAATTCAAAAGTTAAAAAAAATATTTTATGTATCAACTTTCTGTTGTTAGTATTGAACTTCTCTACTCTAACTCTATTCTCATTCTCAATATCTGTCTCGCTAAAACTTAATAAAACTATGAAATGTTATTCATTAGAGTTAGTTGTTAATGTTGTCACAAGAGGTTACTAAGTGATCCCACACGAAGGGACAACCATTGTACAAATCTATTTCGTTGTTGTTTTGACATTACCAACAATCAAATCTCACACAAGATAGGATTATCACTGACAAATAACTTGTGTGTTTAGTTTTGCTTATTGTTTCTAAGAATTTTAGTTTAGAAAATTATTATATTAAGATACATTTAACATTTCTAATCTTTGAATATTTATTTTTTATCTATATTTATACCTTGTTCGGCAACTACATATTGAATTTTTGTATTATTATGCTACTTATGTGAAGTTATATAAACATATTTTTCTTTATAAATATTTTTTTTCTCAAACAAGCGCGGGTAATGGGTACAAGACGGGTATGCGAGTACCCAGAGGGTACGAGTACGGGGATTAATGTTCATACCCATGCGGGTATAGGGCCGAGTACGGGTATTTTTTTAAAACGCGAGTATGGAGATGGGTACTGTAGTACCCTACCCATTGTCATCCCTACTTGAAATTAAAAAATAATTAATAATTAACTTGTTAAAACAGTATTAAATGTTCTTTATTTAATAAATTATGGACACTAACTTATAATAATTAAAAAAAAAAAATTATACAGAGTTTGTTTTTATTTTTTCATAAGTAGTTTTTATAAAATGCATTTATACTTATACTATGTGACATTTTAAAAAATAATGTTTAGTGTTCTAGACAAGTGATGTATATGAAAAAAATACTGGTATTTTATATTATTGATTCTAAAGTTTAAAAAAATAATATTTATAATCATTTCATTTTTTGAAGTTATTTTGTTTGTAAGTTTTTATTTAGCATATTGTATTTTTTTTAATTATAATATCTGCTGTAGTGTTTTTTTATTGGATTCCAATTTTTTATTTTTTTTTGCTTTTATGGATTCCAATTTTTTTAATAATAATATTTATAATCATTACATTTTTTAAGTTATTTTGTTTGCAAGCTTTTATTTTATAATATTATATATTTTTAAATTCTAATATTTGTTATAGTATTTTTTAATTGTCTTTTACTATTACAATAGGAATTTATTATTATTCCTGACTTTTAGTAATATAACAGCAGACAGCAGTTTATTATTATTTTTATAATAGTTTATTGTCGCTTTTAGTTCCATTTTTTCGTTTTTATAATATTATTTCAAATTTTACATATTATATTATTGCAAGTGAAAAATATTACAATAAATAAAAAACTACTGTATAAATATTATAGGAAATTACGGTGATAGATATTGAGCAGATTTATATTTTATATAAATATAGATTAATATTCAGAGAACTTAATTAAAAATTTACAAATTATAAAAACTTAGTTAAATTTTTAATAAAGCCCTAAGAATTAAAAATCCCACTCAGCAAATAAAAACCTTCTTGCTGGATACGTAGATAACCCATGGATAATTATTCAGAACATAGATAACTACACCAGATATCTGTTCAGAACATTGATAAACCCATCGCAATCGCAATTCCTATTCCTCATATTTTCTCGGAAAATCTCTTGGCACTATTTCGAAAACCAACCATCTCCAATTTAGCCCTAACCAACATCATCGTGATTCGAATCGGTGAAGATATGTCAACCTCAAGCCAGCACCAGTTCCGATACACTCAAACCCCCTCCAAGGTACTCCACCTTCGCAACCTTCCATGGGAATGCTCAGAAGAGGAGCTCAAAGAGCTCTGCAAACCCTTTGGCAAGATCGTCAATACCAAGTGCAATGTCGGCGCCAATCGCAACCAAGCTTTTGTTGAATTTGTAATTCCCTTTTCTCTTTCTTTCACTCTAATTTATCTATATATTTTACTTTTTAATTCCGATTGTTTTTAGGAGAAATTGAGCTTTAGGGAGTGGATTTAAACAACTTCATAGTCTGTTATACACAGGCATGCATTTTGTCACAATTTCAACCGCCGATTCTCCAATCAATGGTTATAATTACTCGCTTTTCTCAGTGAATCTCTCACTTAAGAGGAGCCAAATCATTAATGATGAGTTCATAATCAAGTAGGTAGTAGATTCTATAGTGTGTGTGTGTGAAGTTCAGCCTGTGTCGGTATTAGAATATTGAATCTATCTTTAATCATTCTATTGACACATAATAGATGTACTAAATAGATAAAAGCAATGTAATGAGAAGAGTGAGTAGTCAATAGTGGCCAGTGCGGAGTTTCCCTGCTCCAATGTACTCATGATAGTGTTTCAGCTAAAGATCGCGGCCCCTTGTGGATTTCAGCGGTAGGCATAGCAACTGTTATTAGCGTTTTCAGTTAACTCTGGTCTTTGTAGCCTCTGGTTCAGAGAATCCATTGCACATACAGGTGGATGTGAACCCTAAAGTCCCGTTACTGGAATTTCCATCTTGCATGCACTGCCATGGCTGTTCAAATCTGTTTTCAGTTGAGACAGCTTGTCAAAGAAGCCTTCTTCTTATATTTAGATTGAAGATTTTATATATTGAGAACACTGAGCCTGCCATATAACAAAAATGTTTAGATTGTAAACATTTTTGCTTTTACTACTTATCATCCATTTAACTTATTTTTCAATGATTAGTATTTTAAGTGACTGTCAAGTGTCTGAGGATGTGTTTTGTTATATTTGATGATAATGATACCTGGTTCTTTTTATGATATTCCAACTTGGATTTACCAGGCAGATCTAAATCAAGCCATTTCAATGGTTTCATACTATGCTTCATCTTCGGAACCTGCTATGATTCGTGGTAAAACTGTTTACATTCAATATTCTAATAGACACGAAATTGTCAACAACAAAAGCCCTGGAGATATTCCTGGAAATGTCTTGCTGGTAACTATTGAAGGTGTGGAAGCTGGGGATGTGAGCATTGATGTAATCCACTTGGTAAGTGTGACTGAGTTTTATTTAGTTGCTTTGGTTCTCTTTCATGTGTGACTTTGCTAGCTTCTTGTTTGGTTAGAACCATGTTATACATGTTTCAACGCTTCTGTGTGGATGAAAAAAGTCATGATCCCAATAAAATAGGGGTTAATCTTAAAGTAAATGTAGTATTAGGTCCTAATCCTATAATCTGATAGTAACATAAGGATATGATTATGCATATCAATAACTCACAGAAATGTCCCTTTGGATTATTTAAGCCTATTTTTAAGGTTTGTACTAAATAAATTGCACAGATAAGGGGTACAGTACAGGTACAGGGTACAACAAATTTCTGAAAATTAAGGTATCAGTATTATCATTAGAGATACATAATATATAATCATAAACAATAAGGTAATTAAATCATAAGATAAATACTTTTTTCATAATATTCTAATGTCATGTTTCAATGAAACCCCATAAAATAGATCACATTAGCAAAAATATTTTAAAAAGCTACATTATATGGAGTGAGGCAATCTGTTTAATTTAGTAGCAACAAGTCATATTCATCTAGTCAGTGTCCGGTTATTACCCATGTGAACAAGTAATCTTTATAGTTATGAAGCCCTAAATTATAAATTTTTGTATATCACCTTTTTTTTTTCTCTACAACAACAACAACCACCCCTTATCTCACTAAGTGAGATGTCACTTTTTTTTTGCTCTCTAAAAAGGCTTATTTTTTTTGCATTAGAATTTCACTTTTTAACAATGAATTCGTTTGAGTTTTAATTTCTTAAAGAATAGTAAGTGGATAGCAAATTCTTTTTAGCCTATTTTGTACTTGCATCCTTAAAAGTTATATACTTCTCTGCCCCTGAAAGGTGTGGTAATTATCCCCTTAAAAGATAGAGAAAGGCATTATTATTAGGAGAAAGTTATTTCCTTGAATTTGGAGGTATGGTATGGAGTTGAGAACAGAGGCTCCATTCACATTACTTTTAGAAAAAAGGTATGTCTATCTGGATCATTGCAGGACATTTTACTGCATCTGGGGATGTTTAAAATGTGAAAATATTGTTTCTGATTGAATCCTGCTTTATATTTTGTTTTCATCTGATGTCCCTGGGAAGCATTTAAGTCTCATGTAAATCTTTCATTCTTATTATGTCTTTTTTTCCCCCTGTTGGGATGAGCGAAGATTTTCTCATGAGTGATTGTTCAGGATTCTGAGTTTCAATTCTTTTTAGTTTTACACAGTTTCATTTTTTTTTTTTTTCATTTGATCATGTGATATTTTATATTTTTCCTTTTTATTTAGTGTTAGACAGAATCCTGATTAAATCATGTGCTATTTTTTACTGAAATCGGTTGAATCACAGATGGTGATCTCTCATAGTTAGATACTTTTGTTGGAGACAGTTTGGAATATTTGTCATGTACGTCATACCCCTTTCTAAGGTCACGCATATAAGTACAGGTGTCATTCTGCACTTATTTCTTATCTGTTTGGAACTTATTTTTCCTTGTTGACATTGCTTTGTGATACCAACATTTTTTGTGATGGTTTCTGATCATGTTTTGAACTATTATCTTCCAACCTTTTCATTTAAGTACTATGGAGAAAGCAATAAGATGAATGAACCAGTTTTTTTTTTTTTTTTTTTCAGGTGTTCTCTGCTTTTGGCTTTGTTCACAAAATTGCTACATTTGAAAAGACTGCAGGTTTCCAGGTTAGGGAATTATTGTCAAATGTCATTTGCACATCGATGTATCCTTGACTCACCATAAGTGTTGACCTTTTCTGCCATGGCAGGCTCTGATTCAGTTCACTGATGCTGAAACCGCTTCTTCAGCTAGAGATGCACTGGATGGAAGAAGCATACCAAGGCAAGTAGCTTTCACATTTTCCCTTCAACTATCTTTAATTCTGGTTATAGCTTGATAAGTCATAAATTTTCTGATTCACTTATCCCTTGGCATTCAGATACCTGCTTCCAGACCATGTTGGTTCTTGTAACTTGCGTATTTCATACTCAGCACATAAAGATCTGAACATCAAATTTCAATCAAATCGCAGCAGGTAATGATGGAAGGAAAGACAACTATCATATATTACGCTTCTGTAGTTTATATTGGTGGTTTTTTTCCTTAGAAAGCAAATTGTGAAAGCTTTTATATGAATTTTTTGTGGTGTTCTCTCATTTGCTAATTGATATATGTGCTTTTATCGTCTAGGGGTTACTGAAGCTTGGTAGTCAGGATACAGTTGAGTTGCCATGACCACTTAGTAATTTTCTTGATCATTTTCCAGCTGTTCGATGCATTTTCTGTCAATGTTGTTGAAATCATTGTTCTTCTGTTATTGAAATGTATTGAACAAGCCTTTTCTTTTTATGTTTTTTGTGTTAATATATTGATGATTCAATACTAATTATTTGTAGTCATTGTTGTATTCCATCTTTATCTATGGAGGCAACTCTGATATTTCAGTACACAATTCCCTCATAATTGTATTCACAACATACTGAATTATAATTGTAGAGACAGCTTCTAGTTTTGTCGATTTAGTTCTTCAGTTGAAAACAGAATTGTTTTTATGTCTGAGACTGACTGGCCATCAGGTTTTACTTTCTAAAATATCTCTATATTAAAAATATTTGTTCCATTGTCTGGACTCTGGAGGCTCCAAAATTTAAAGTCTGGTTTTTTAAAACAGGATACAGTTTGGTTGTCGCGAAGAAATAAAATGAAAATCTTCTGACCACTATGTTTGAATTTCTTGATTACTTGCTGCTTGGAGAACATTTTTGTTAAATAATTCGTAGTGGTAGTGAAACTCAACATTGTTAGTGAACCATGATTCTATGAATAAGCATGTATTGTAAAGTGTGAACTAAGCACCTCCTCTGTCACTGTCTTTTGAAAACTACATAAATATACTGGTTGTCTTTTCACTTTTGTGATTTAAAATCTTGCAAGTCAACTATTTTGTTTCAGTGCCTCTAGATCTAGACTCTATCAATATCTCTATATATGTTTAATGTACTCAATTTTTTTAAGAATTTGATTCAGGCATAACCCCTTCATAAGATTTTATTCAGTCTTTTGTCAACTGTTAATATTACTGATTTTTTTCCCTTTCAGGGACTACACAAATCCTATGCTTCCTGTTAATTATACTGCTATTGAGGGGGCAGTACAGGTATTTTACTGTTTTATTTTATTTTTTTATAAAATCTTCTTTTCCTATTTTTATTATGTTCTAACAATGTATATTTTCAGCCTGCTGTAGGTCCTGATGGGAAGAAGAAAGAACCTGAGAGCAATGTACTTTTGGCTTCCATTGATAATATGCAGTATGCTGTTACTGTTGACGTCCTCCACACAGTGAGAATTTGTATTTTTCATTTAAACTTCCAAGCTTGTACATGATTTATACTCTATATACCCGGGCTATCTTTACAGGTGTTCTCTGCATTTGGTACTGTCCAGAAAATTGCTATATTCGAAAAGAATGGTCAAACACAGGCACTAATTCAGTACCCTGGTATTAATCATATTTGACTGATTCTTGAATTGGTACAGTGTGTGTCCCCTCTTGATATATATTTCTAACATATATATGCCTGCTTTCTTCCTTACACGGGTTGTTTTCTTGTCACTAGAGGTTCCTTGTGTGTTTAATTCTGGGTATTTTTGGTGGGGGGTGGTGTGGAGAGGAAACGCTAGTTAAGCAGCATTTGGATTGTCTAATAGATATAGCTTGGAACCCATGTGCCGCCTTTCTGTGTTTGACCATTTCATATTGTAATTCTATTATATATTATTCTTTGTTGTTATTATTTCATTAATCAAGTACTTTCCTTCTGCTCTAGAATGTTTCTTGCTATTCGATGGACAATAATTATGGTACTTATTTTTGGTTTGGAGATAAATTGTATCTTATCCAAGGAATAATGTGCTCATGTTATTTTAGAGGAACTTCTACTAATGACATGAAAAGAAATTGGTCATTTTTTAACCACTCCATACTTTCACGTTTTATACACAATAATCAAATTCTATTATATATATATTTTATTGTTTCATTTTCTTTTACCACTCCATAGCATATTCAACACTCATTTATATATAGTTGCAGGGGATTGAACTGGGTAGCCTATTTTGGCTAGCAACCAAGTCCCTTGTTGCTGGACAAGACATTTTTTGTTCTTGGTCACGTGTAAACATATTTTTTTGCAGATGTCATAACAGCAGAAGCTGCTAGAGAAGCTCTAGAGGGGCATTGCATATATGATGGTGGCTATTGTAAGCTTCATCTATCATACTCTCGTCATACTGATCTCAATGTAAAGGTATAAAATATGTGTTTCTGAGTTAATGTTATGAGGTAAAAAAAAATGAAAAAGTGGAAAAATTATATATATGCTTAGAAGCAACGTGGACCCTTGATCGGAAAGAGATTTGGTTCTTAAATGTATGCTTCTTGACACTTGATTGACCTACCATTTATAGTAATTTGTTCAGGATAACTGAATAGTTATCTGAGTTTTACTTTATTATTATATATCATGTTTTGGTTTTAGGCCTTCAGTGACAAAAGTAGAGACTACACAGTGCCAGATCCTAGTCTGCTTGCTACACAAGGTCCTGCAGCAGCTTGGCAAAATCCCCAGGCTGCACCTATGTACCCTGGTAGTGCCCCTGCTTTTCAAACTCAAGTTCCTGGAGGACAAATTCCATCTTGGGATCCAAGCCAGCAGGCAGTTAGACCGAGTTATGTATCTGTACCGCGTACTTTTCCCATTCAAACTGGTGCAGTTCCTTCAATGCCAGCCTATGCGCCAGCAGCTATGCCCGCTGCTTCCTCCCCTCTTGCACAAAGCAGCCCTATGGCTCATATTGCAAATCCAATGGGAAGCACCCAGACCAGGGTTCCAACCAATGCACATTTACAACCCACTGGTGCTTCACCTTCAATTCGTGGTTCCTCACCTCTGCAAACCAGCCAACAAACCAACCAAGTTGGTCAAGGATTGGTTCAGCCAAATGTGAGACCTGGTGGCGTTTCACCATCCGGTCAACATTATTATGGTTAGAAAGTATGTTTACTTCTACATGAATGAAAGGAAAGTTGTTTTGATGGAAGAAAGAGTGATAATATTACTAATTTGTTATTCAGTTGGAGATTTCATCATCAATGTTAGTTTTTTAAATGTTTAAATTTAATTTGCAAATAAATTGTCGAAATCGTTTATATTAATACCCTAAGCTTTATGTTTCTTTACTATGTTTAATGCTGAAAATCTTTTTATTTTCATTGAAGATTCAGTTTGGTAAAATAGAGGTGTTAAATATCTGTTTCTACTCAAGATTACTTATAAATCCAAAACTTTAAGTAACAATGATCAAGTACCCCGTGAGCCACGCCATTACCTTGTGAAATTTTGGACCACTCACTTAATTTGGCCCCATTATCATTTCATCGTGATTATAAAATCTTTGCGCTGGGAAAGTATCTAACTGCGCTCTCTATCAAAGGTGAAAGTTGGGAGAGAATAATATTACAACGTTCAAGAAAAAAAGGTGCATTGTCATCTCAATGAAAATATTGATGAAGTCACTTAAAATGTGAGCAACTATTGGCTTAATTGCTAGAATTATACAATTTCAACGAAGTAGTCTCTAGTTTTGTAGACTCTAGACAAATTTCGTGAAATGTTCTTTCTTAAAACAAACAAACACGTCTACATGGGTAGCAGAAAATATAAATAAACATTTGACATAAATTTAAAATGTAATATAAACAAAAATAATTAATATTTTAAATCTTTAAAATAGTAAAGAAATAAATAATTTGTCAAATTTTGACATAATAAAAAAGAACAGAAAATTTAACTAATATTTTATTTAAAATAAATAGATAAACACATGGAGCATAAATATTTTATATTTTTTATTAGTTAATTTAGTTTAAAAATTATATTTTAAATATAAAAAGAATTATTTATCAAGTAATCATTAAATAATTATTTTTAATGTGAACAAAATATTAAAAAATAAAAAATATTTGATTAATTTTTAAAATAAATTATATATATAAAAAAAATAAAACAGTTAAACTGAACTTAAATCCATTAACTTCATTATATTTTTTTAAAACTTATTTTAAATAGATATTAACTTTTAAGGTAAATACTAAATAACATTTTAGAGTATTGATTAAAAAATTAAAAAAAAATTAAATTAAAAATTACTATATTTCTATCCAATAATCACTTAAGAGTTTTTAGAGTCTAAAATAAATTTAAAAATGAGTCTTTTTTTATTAATAATATAATTTATTATTATTGATTAAAAATTATAAATTATTAAATATTATTTATAATACTAATAAAAATTTAATAATTAAATTAAATATTTAAATTTAAAACTAGTTTAAAATTTAATTTTTTTAATTTTTAAAGATATATTAAAACTAAAAAAGTAATTTGAGAATCTAAAACTTTGCCTTACCTGTCCGTACTTTAGGCCGCCTCCGTTTCTATCATAATTTCAATATTTTCCTACTGTATCCTTAATAATTTTTTCAATAAAATAACCTCTTGCGTGCTCCTCGTTGCGTGCTCCTCGTGGCACGGAACAGTACAAAAATGTTTTGGCATATAAAAGCAAAAATAATAAAAACAAAGAATCAAGTTTAACAATTGAACTTAAAACTTTTTTATAAACACTGTACTTAAAAAAATTAGATTAATAAAAAAACACGTATTAAATTAAAAAATTATTATATATAATTTATTTAAAATTATGTTATTTATTATATAATTTTATTATATATATATTATATTCAATTTTTTATTTTATTTTTTGTAAATTTTTAGTATAATTTTTTTAAATAAAATATAATTTATATTTAAATATTTTTTATTTATTATAAATAAAAAATAATTATAACATAATATATTAATATAATAATTAAATAATTAAATAATTAAATATTAATAATAATAAATTATATAACAAATAATATAATTTTAAATAAATTATATATAATAATTTTTTTGAACTTAATAAGTGTCGTTTTTTTATTAATCTAAATTTTTTAATACAATAGAAGAATTTTTGGGGTACCCCCACACACTTTTATTTATTATACAGACGCATGTTACTCGATGGCTCATTTAATATTGTATCTTGTAAGCACCGATAAAACTAAAAACTATATAATTGTAGCATTGGGTTTGAGGACACTGCTGTGTCTCATAACATCATATCAAAACTAAAAGAACACTAATGGTTTCGGGTGGTCCAGTTTCGATTAATGACAATTTCAATGGCAAACTGGAGAAGCCTCTTCATGTTGCCATGCTTCCATGGCTGGCCATGGGTCACATATACCCCTATTTTGAGGTGGCAAAGATTCTTGCTCAAAAGGGTCACTTTGTTACCTTCATAAACAGTCCAAAAAACATTGATCGCATGCCCAAAGCACCACAAAGCTTAGAACCCTTCATTAAATTGGTGAGGTTGCCCTTGCCACAAATAGAGAATCTTCCAGAAGGGGCAGAGAGCACCATGGACATACCCTCCAACTTTGATTGTTACCTTCGCATGGCTTATGATGGCCTCCAAGATGGTGTAACAGAGTTGCTCAAATCTTCAAAGCCTGATTGGGTTTTCTACGATTATGCAGCTTCATGGTTACCAGCAATTGCTAAGAGCCTCAACATCCCATGTGCTCATTACAACATTACCCCAGCTTGGAACAAATGCTTCTTTAATCCTCCCAAGGATCGACTCACGTCAAATTTCAAACTTGAAGATATATGTGGCCCTCCAGCGTGGGTTCCTTTTAACACAACCATTCATCTCAAGCCTTATGAGATCATGAAAACATTTTCGAGTATGACGGATGGGAAAACCACAAAAATTGCTCAAGTTGATCTCAACAAAGCATATTCAAGCTGTGACATGTTTCTTCTCAGAACATCCAGAGAACTTGAAGGAGAATGGTTGGATTATCTTGCTGAGACCTACAAGATGCCTGTGGTTCCAGTGGGGGTGCTTCCACCTTCAACGCAAATAAGAGATGTTGAAGAAGAAGACAAAAGCCCTGATTGGGTACAAATCAAGGCCTGGTTGGACACACGAGAGTCCTCATCCGTGGTGTACATTGGATTTGGGAGCGAGTTGAAGCTGAGTCAGCAAGACCTCACTGAGTTGGCTCATGGGATTGAGCTTTCTGGGTTGCCTTTCTTTTGGGCTTTGAAGAACCTGAAAGAGGGAACACTCGAGTTGCCAGAAGGGTTTGAAGAGAGAACCAAGGATCGTGGGATTGTTTGGAAGACTTGGGCACCCCAGCTTAAGATCTTAGCTCATGGGGCTATTGGGGGGTGCATGAGTCACTGTGGTTCTGGTTCTGTCATTGAGAAGCTTCATTTTGGTCACGTGCTTGTTACACTGCCCTATTTGCTAGACCAAGCTCTGTTCTCAAGAGCACTAGAAGAAAGGAAAGTGGGTATTGAGGTACCAAGGAATGAGAAAGATGGTTCCTTCACTAGGGACTCTGTGGCCAAGACATTGAAGTTAGCAATAGTGGATGAGGAGGGAAGTACCTTGCGCAAGAATGCCAAAGAGATGGGGAGGATTTTTAGCTCCGAAGAACTTCATAATCAGTACATTGAAGATTTCATTGCTGCTCTTCAAAAGTATAGGAATCTTTCCAGCATCTAAGCACGTTTTAGGCCTTCTACTTACTCCCTTCTTAATAATTTTGGCTTTCGTTACCTTCAAAAATAATGTCAATTCAATGTGTGTGTTTTGTTTTTGTGTTGATTTTCGGAGTGTTATTATGTTAGTACTAAGGTAAAAACACAAATCCAAGGTTGAAGTTGTGGGTCCTAGTTGCAATAAATATTTGCTATAATTTTTTATTTGAAAAAGACATAAATTCCTTTTAATCTTTAAAATAATAATAAAATAACAACCATCAAGAAACATTCCTCTAAAGCAAGTATTAGGTCATAAATGATTAGAAAGAAAATCTTCTGAATTAATTACCCCACATGGCCGACATGATTTTGATGGATGATATGGTTAGAAAGAACATCTTCTGAATGTAAACAATCTTTATAATCATTATTTATTAAAAACAAGTTTTAGAATTATTTGATTATAAAACTTATACTAAAAAATTACGCAATTCAAAAGGTTAAACAAACTAGTAAGCAAATTGATAACTTACATTATTATAAACCTTCTAATAATTTTGCCTAAGATCCTCAAATTTGCAATCACAATTCTGCTATTTATTATATACTAGCATATAATAAATATTAACTATAGCAACTAAATATATATTTTAATTAAAAATAGACATCAAATGACACAGAAGAATCGTAATCACGTTTTAAAAAAATGTGAGTTTTACTAAATAGAGCATGGATCTTAATTATTTTTATCTAATTATTAAATTTTATAAATTTATGATAAATGAAAAAAGTATAACGGAGATCAAATTAAAAAAATAAAAATATTTTTAATAAAGACAAAATATCAACTATATTTTTTAATCTGTGTAATATCTTCTTAAATGAATAAATAAAAATTAATTATATATTAATTAGTACTAATACTAATTTAATAATGCATGACCGTGCTTATAATTTAAACATAGACGTCCGTATCCGTAGCACGGTTGTACATCCTAGCAAAGCATGATTGTGCTGATACTTAAGGACTATGTGTAATTTATTCTTAATTGACATAATTCTTTTGAAATTGTGCTCAAAATATCCATAAGCTCTTTGTACTTTTAAACACGTTCATCTAAAGCAAATAACATAATAATAAGTGTAAATATTCCTTGAATTCATAAATAAATTTGGATGAACATATTGAAAAAGTGTGTCAAAATATACACTTATCACTGTCATTGATTAAACTATTTAATCAATAGCAAATAAATTAAATATTTTATAATTTTAGATCAAAACTACACAGTACATGTTAAAAATAAACTAACACTAATTTAATCAAAAATTAACTTATAAAATTTAGGAGAATTTTTTAAAACTTTATAAAAAAAATTTATTATATTTTTAATTAATGTAATATATCTTAACAATAATAATTTTAAAAGTTTAATTAAACAAGAACAGCACATAAATTTAGATAAGATAATATAATATTTTTTCACGTACTCTTATTAAAAAAAACATTTATTCTTAAACTTACATGTACACCATCGATTGGTAGTAGTTTATTTTAATTTATTACTAGCAAATATATACATACATTGAATCAATATATTTATATTTTTTATTATTTAATTTAGTTCAAAAAAATTAATAAATTATAATTTAAATATCAAATAATTATTTTTAATGTAAAAAACATTAAAAAGGTAAAAAAATTCTTTAATTAACTTTAAAATAAATTATATATAAAATAAATATAACAATTTAATTTAATTTATATTTTAAAAGTTATAATTTATTTATTTATTCATTTGTTATCATATAAAATATTAAATATGCAAATAAAATAATTATAAAATTTGAATAACAAATAATATTTATATTTTTTCTAAATATATTATTATTTTATTATTAGAGATATTTAGTAGTATTTAAATAATTTCAATCGTTGTAATTAATTACTCTTAATTTAAAAATTTGAAATTTATAATAACTATTATAATTTCTAATAATAAATAAAATATTATAACAAAATCTTCAAATATAAATTTAAAATAATTATTAATTAATAAAATAAATAGTTAAAAATTAAGCAAAAGTTAAAATAATTTTTTTATTTATTATAAAAAAGTATTATTTATATCAATCAAAATAATATATGTAATAATAACAAAATAAAAATAATATATATAACAATATAATTAAATACCTTGATAAAAAATGAAAAGATTGGTCACATTTTATTTTTTAAATTATATAAAATTTTAAAAGTATTTTATAATAATATAATGAAAATTATTTAGTTCTTTGATTTTTTTATTTTTTAATAACTAAAATATAAAGTATAAATTATTGTATGATTTAAGAAAGTTTGATAATATATTATAATTTATACATTAATTTTTATTACTTTTGATAAATTTTTTGTACACATGATTGGAGATTCACTTAAAAATTTTATTATTTTCAAGTATTTTTTATGTTATTTTGATATGTATATTGTTCAATTTTTCTTTTTTCTCAACATATATATATAAAATAATTAAAATAAAATTATTCCTACTTATATTATAAATTTTATAAATAAAAGGTAATAAATATATAATATTATTTTATTCATTATATGCATTACTAACTTTAAAATTTTATTTTCTATAAAATTATCTTCTACGATTTTTAAAATAAATATTTATTTTTACTTAAAAAATATGTGATGTTCCTATAATATTTAAAAATTATAAAAATAATTTTAAATAATCACTGTCATTTTTTTAAAAAATTTATTACATTGTTTCAAAATCAAAGTTTTGATAAGAGTTAAGTTCTTAACTTATAAAGTACACTTATGTTTCAATGATAGGATGTATTTTCGTACTTCAAGTATGTGAGCTTAAGAATCATATTATGGGAGGACCTCTTTTGAAGTAATAAAATGCAGAAGTGAAAGAAGACTCCCTCATCTTTCATCTTTTATTTTTTATATAATCTGTTTTCTTTGCTCTTCAAGTAAAATAATGAATTTGCCAACTATCTTATTCTCATCATTTCTTCTGATACATCTTCTTACTTTTGGATATGACTTTTCCTTGAAGCTTGGTCTCTTTCCAATACATATTTTCTATAGTTTTGGAACCAACTGCAGGACCTACATTGTATTTTCGTTTAAGCAAATGTTTTACTTAAGCGAAAATACATTGTAGCTTTTTCTTCTTTCTGTGTATTTTGACTTAAGCAAATTCGCTTAAACAAAAATACGCAGGAAGAATAAGATGCTTTATTTTCTTCTGTTTCTTTGGTTCCCTCTCTTCCACCCTCCTATTCAGCCCCTCCTCTTCTCCTCTCTTTCCTTTCCTTCTACTTAACTCCTCCTTCTCTCTTTCTACCTGACAGCTTTCTCCCTCCCTTTCACTCATCCCCTCTTCCTCTCACCCATTCTTCTCCTTTCCATTCTCTCAATTCCTTCCCTTCTCCCACCCAACCCCTCTTTTTTCCCTCTCCTCCCAACCCAACCATCCTCTTCCTTCCTCCCTCTCACACAATCTCTTTCTTCCTTCTTCTTCTCCATCTCTTCCCCCTTTCTCCTCATTTAGCTCCCCTCCCCTCCCTTCCCTTCCCCTTCACCTTCACCCCCACTCATCCCCTTCCCCTTCTCTCCTCCTCCAGCCTTTTTTCCTTCCCTTTATTAGCCTTCTTCCACTCTCCCTTTCCCTTGTACTCTCACCCCCATCTCTCTCAACCTCCCTTTATCTTTTCTTCTTTTGATTTTTTTTTATCACTCTTACTAGTTTAAGCTAAATTCGATTAAGCGAATTTTTCTACCGTAAGCAAAATTTGCTTAGGCAAATGTAAACTGTAGGTTGCAGTTCCTTCCAAAATTGCAGAAGATTTGGATTGGTCTCTTCCTTACCACTTTCTTACTTCATCCTTACATAGTTATGAGCTAAAGTGTCACTTCTTCATTCTTTAAAAGGTATCATTGTCTTGTCCAATCCATGTAGGGGATGCTCCCATTTGTAGCCAAGGAATGCTCATTACTCTAGTCTTTGCTCAATAGTTAAGGCTCCACCTTGTTGCTCTTTGCTATGTTGTGGAAGTTTTTTTAATTTTTCTAAAACTTTATGCTTTTGTGTCCAACTTCATTATGATTTTGCGCCTGATATTTTAATTAGTCCTTAATAGTATTTTATTTGGTCCTCAACATTAGCCCTCTTGCACTTGGCATAAGAACCATGTCTCAAGTGCATTAACTTCATAACTCTCCCTAATATGTTGGTAGATCTATTTGTGGCTTGGTTTTTCCATTAAGAAACATGCATTTCGGGTGACATGCTGAAGTCTCAAAGTCTGATTTTTTAGTTGAATTTGTTTTACTCACAGCCAATCAAGGTAGAGAACAGGATTTTTTTTTAACTTGCTTCCAATATTGACCACATGATTGAGATTCAATATGTGCTTCATTACCTCTTTTCTGTTTAATTCTTTATTTATGGATTATTGTACTTTGATGACTTTGGATTAATTTTATGTTTTTTTATGTGCTTTATATTCTTGGATTCTTTCTTTATTCTGTTACATATGTTTGTAGCTTTCGCTATCATTTACATGTTGCCTTTCAAGTTTCATACATGTTATTATTTCTTTTCTCTTGGACTTGCAATGCTATGGATAACTTGTTAATAGAAAAAAAATTAATGTAGAGTAAATTATACTTTATGAAGTGAAATGCTTCCTTTTTATTTGAACAAATTTTGACACCTTTGAAGATAGTGCTTGTTGTATACCATTATAAAGGTGGAGCATTTCGGTTTTTTCATTTCTTGAATTTGTTAAGCACTGATGTATCGAAAGAATGTATGTAACGCCGCCTTGTCTTACAAAGTTTTGAACTTTGTGTTAGGACAAAGTGTCTTAGTCTCGAGTGTGTTTTACAGAAGAATTCTTGATATAATGCATGTTATATATGAATGTATGTTATGTACAAATGTTTACGGATGTATGTTATATCGTAATTGATTTCAAGCGCTTTTCAGGTTTGCTCCACTCT